TTGTGGTCGGAGCATGTTCTTGGCAGATTTCCACTTCTGGTCTTAGGTGCCATCCCTCTAGACGTCCGATTTGGTCAATCGTGTCCAAGACAGGTGGACTCAGAGAAGAAGGTTCTTCTTTACCTAGGGGGTTCTTTGTCCTCCATATGTCGATCAAGTCCAAGTTGTCATCAGTTCAAAAAAAGTTTGGGCAGTCTGCCGTCTTGATGTTAAGTTTTGGCTTTGAGACTTGTCCATGTGTGTGTAGACACACTCCATTCATATCTCCCATCATTATAATATTATATAGTCCAAATAGTCCAGCAACATCTCATGCAGCTTCTTGAAAAATTCTGATTTCCCGTCGTTTGGAGCATATATTTCTAATATCAAAAATTTTTCTCCTTGTGTCTGGATTTCAATCGCCAAGATTCTTCCTTGTTCATCCTTAAATAGGAACTTTGGTGCAGGTTCTCCTTGGCATAGATCACCACACCTCTTTTCTTAACTTTATCTGATGAGATAAATTCTTGACCAATCTTTTGTTGATCAAAACTTTCCTGTGGAGTCTGTCACATGAGTTTCTTGTAGGCAAATGATATCCAATTGTTCTTTCTTCAATATGTGAAAAATCTTCCTTCTTTTCTCGGGATTTCCGCCATTTAATTCCAACTGAGTAGCTGCAGAGACATCTTGTACTAATTTGTTACAGCTAGAGTGGTGTATCTTCTTTGTCCTCTGATCCCGAGGGTGTAGGCGTTGCTCCTCCTCCAGGCAGTATAGGCCCAGATTGAGGTAGAGGCCAATGTCTGCAGCTTCTTTTTTGGAGATCTTCACCGTGGTCGTGCCTGGAACTTTTGTAAATCCTCTGGGTTCTTATTTAACCTTCTTCTTCTGTTTGTAGGTGAATGATAAGCCTTGTGGAAATTCCCACCTAAAGGAATTGCGTTGAGCCTCAACAATACTTCGCCAATTCTGAGTAGGTGGCTCTCAAGTCCAGTAACTGTTTAGGTATCAATCTCTGTAAATTTCCACTCTTTTATTTGTATCTCCAGTGAATTTTTAACAGTGTAGGCCTAGTATTTTATCTCTCTCTTCTCTGATCTTAGGCTATCAAACAGTCCCTGGATCTGTCCTTTCTTACTAATCTTCCCAGTCGAAAAGCCGATACTATTTTAAAATCACTTTTCTCCTTTATACCCCAGAACTTTGAGAATTCTGTTGTCAAAAATCCAATCAAGCTTTCTTGCTCAATTTCTGGAATTGCTCTTAATCTAAGATTAGTCTCGCGATTTTTCAGTTCCACCAAAGAGAGATAGGCTTGCTGTCCCCAATCTGTTTATGCAGAGGTTAACTTCTGCTTTGACTTCTTCGACCTCTGTTCTTGGCAGACGTTGCTATTTGAATGGCTCCCCAGCCAATTTCCGGTTCTCCTCTGTTGCATCCTTGCAATTTTTTCAATTGCTTGTGTGTGTTGGGAAACCTGATCTGTCAATTCTGGATCGAGGAAGTAGCTTGTCAATTATTTATTGATTGGTTATCTACCTTTTGATTTAGAGCTGACAGTTTTTCCAAAATTTGTTTTCAGAACTGCTCGATCCTCCTGATGCCACTAATCCCTCCTCTCAGATTTTTTAGGCTTTTCAACTTCTACTTATGTGTCTCAAGCACAGCTGGGACCGATGATCTGCGTCCCTGAGTCAAAGTTGTTTGTACTAGCTGTGTCTGCTTTTTCTCTTTTTCCTTTTTCCTTAGCTTCCTTAGCCTTAGCTGCTCTTGTCTTTCCCCGTGCACTCATCGTCATGTTCAAGGTCAAATACTGTAGTCCCATGGAGGCAAGTCAATTTTAAAAACAAGCTCAGTGAGAGAAGGTAAAATAGAGCTGTTCAACGCCTTGAAAGTAGAACTCAGACTAACTCAACCCGGTTCCTTCAGATGGAGAATGAATGACGCCTTACTAAGAGATCAAGAGATTGTGAAAAAGGCCCCAAAAAACGTTAAAGGACTATTTTGAGATAAATTTGAATACTACAGTAGAAAAAGAACGATCTGGGACGCAAGCAAAGCAGTTATGAGAGGGTTTCTGATTCAACAAAATACAATTAAGAAAAAAACTCTGGAATGGAAAGAAGGATAAAATACTGGAGAAATATATCAAGGAGAGAAAAATTGAGAACCAAACCAAAGTCAAAGGAGGTGTTGAGAGAAATCAAATTCCATCAAGCACAATATTCTAAACTGATAAATCAAGAGATTGAATGGAAAAATTAAACAGATGAAACAAAGATCATTTGAATCAGCAAATAAGTGTGGAAAGCTGCTTGCTTGGCAGCTGAAGAAAAGACAGAAGTTAAATACAGTCACAAATCTAGAGATTGATGGAAAAACGGTGCAGAAACCAGAAGAAATTAGGAAGTGCTTCCACAGATATTTTAAAGAACTCTACGCACAAGGGCCTCAGAAAGAACTTGAGATAGACCAATTTTTAAAGACAAATGGACTATCAAAGATAACTCAAGACAAAAGATCAATCTTGAACTCAACAATAACCTCACAGGAAATCGAAGGTGCCATTCAGAATATGCAACTAGGCAAATCTCCAGGCCCGGATGGACTTACCTCCAAATATTATAAGACTTTGAAGGACTATTTGATACAACCTTTGTTAGAGGTATGTAACCAGATTATGGAGGGGAAGAAGACACCGGAGTCGTGGAAAGAAGCTTTCATCACATTGATTCCGAAAGTGGAAGCGGAAAAGAACCAACTTAAGAACTACCGTCCCATCTCACTCTTAAATGTGGATTACAAAATATTTGCAGACATTCTGGCATGTAGACTTAAAAAGGTCTTAAATGAAGTAATTCATAAAGACCAAGCTGGCTTTCTCCCTGGTAGACATTTATATGAAAATACTAGGAACATCATTGACATTTTGGAGCTTTTGCAAACCAACAGGAACACAAGGGCGGTGTTAATTTTTATTGATGCGGAGAAAGCATTTGACAACATATCTTGGTTGTTTATGAAGAAAAACTTGGAAGGGATGGGAGTGGGACGGGGGTTTGAAAATGGAATACAAGCAATTTATTCTGAGCAGAAAGCCAAACTAATAGTGAACAATGTGGTGTCGGAGGAATTTAAAATTGAAAAAGGGACACGACAGGGGTGCCCTCTATCCCCTCTTTTATTCATCTCAGTCCTGGAGGTGCTATTGAACATGATAAGGGAGGACCGGAGGGTACAAGGGATAGAGGTCGGAGTGAAACAATACAAACTGAAAGCTTTTGCAGATGACTTAGTTTTGACACTGCAGGAGCCAGGACCTAGTACAAAAAGAGTTCTTGAACTTATATCTGAGTTTGGTCGAGTGGCGGGGTTTAAACTGAACAAACAAAAAACCAAGGTTCTGACTAAGAATTTGACACCTACAGAAACAGAGGGATTTCAGAGAGAAACAGAATTAAATGTGGTCAAAAAAGTGAAATATCTAGGGATTTATTTGTCTTCCAAAAATTTGAATTTATTTAAAGATAATTATGAGAAATGCTGGTTGGAAGTTAAAAAAGATCTAGAAATTTGGTCAAGATTGAAACTTTCCTTGTTGGGAAGAATCGCTGCTATAAAAATGAATGTATTGCCGAAAATGCTGTTTTTGTTTCAAACCTTGCAGATCGTGGACAGAGTGGAATGTTTTGGAAAATGGCAGAAGGACATATCTAGGTTTGTCTGGCAGGGCAAAAAGCCCCGAATAAAGTTTAAAATACTAACTGATTCGAAAGAAAGAGGGGGGTTTGCCCTGCCGGACTTAAAGTTGTACTATGAAGCTGCAGCCTTCTGCTGGCTGAAAGATTGGTTCTTGTTGGAAAATACTGATGTCCTAGATCTGGAGGGTTTTGATAATGCTTTTGGTTGGCATGCATATCTATGGTATGACAAGGCTAAAGTTCATAAATTGTTCAAAAACCACATTGTCAGAAAAGCAATTTTTGCAGTCTGGACGAAATACAAAGACTTATTAGAGAGCAAAACACCGAGGTGGCTATCACCGGTGGAGGCCAAGGCTCGAAAAAGACTCAATATGGAGGCCTACTGGCCGAAATATTGGGAATTAATCGAAAAAATTGGAGACAATTGGAAGTTGCAGAGCCAGGACAAATTAAAAAACAAGGTGCGAGATTGGTTACATTATGCTCAAATCCAAGAGGTTTTTAAAATGGATAAAAAGGTGGGTTTCCAGGTGGAAAAATCGAAACTAGAGACAGAATTGCTAGAACCAAAGACCAAGACTTTATCGAGAATGTATAACTTGCTGCTTAAATGGAATACACAGGATGAGGTAGTTAAATCTGCCATGATAAAATGGGCACAGGATGTTGGACACAACATTATGTTTGAAGACTGGGAAAGGTTATGGAACACCGGAATGAAATTCACGGCATGTAGTGCCCTGAAGGAAAATATTATGAAAATGGTATACCGGTGGTACATGACCCCAGTCAAGCTAGCTAAAATATATCACCTGTCTGACAACAAATGCTGGAAATGTAAGGAGGCAGACGGGACATTTTTCCATCTCTGGTGGACCTGCCCAAAAGTGAAGGCCTTCTGGGAAATGATACATAACGAATTGAAAAAGGTATTTAGGTATACCTTTCCTAAGAAACCAGAGGCCTTCCTGCTGGGTATGGTGGACCAGAAAATGTCAAAGAAGGATAGAACTTTGTTTATGTATGCTAGCACAGCAGCAAGAATACTCATCGCAAAGAATTGGAAGACACAAGATTTACCCACGCTGGAGGAATGGCAGACGCAGTTGATGGACTACATGGAATTAGCTGAACTGACCGGCAGAATCCGAGATTTGGACGAAGAAGCAATTGAGGAGGACTGGAGAAAATTTAAAGACTATTTGCAAAAACATTACAAGCTGTATGAATCTTAAGTTAGTGCATGACTGAGAAATGCTATGCTTTGGCAAACATGATTAAGTAAA